TTTTTACCAACGAATAGTGGGATTGAATAGTGTAATTGTTTGTTTGTTTGTTTTTGAATTTCGCGCAAAGCTACACGAGGGCTATCTGCGCTAGCCGTCCCTAATTTAGCAGTGTAAGACTAGAGGGAAGGCAGCCAGTCATCACCACCCACCGCCAACTCTTGGGCTACTCATTCTATTCATACTATTCATGTGGTCTAGTGTTAATGTGTGTGTAGCTATGTAATATTCACGTGGTTTAGTGTTGATATGTATGTATCTATGTAATATTCACGTGGTCTAGTGTTAATGTGTGTATCTATATAATATTCACGTGGTTTAGTGTTAATGTGTGGTACCTAAGTAATATTCATGTGGTTTAGTGTTAATGTGTGGTAGCTATGTAATATTCACGTGGTCTAGTGTTGATGTGTTTATCTATGTAATATTCACGTGGTCTAGTGTTGATGTGTGTGTATCTATGTAATATTCACGTGGTTTAGTGTTAAGGTGTGGTACCTATGTAATATTCATGTGGGCTAGTGTTAATGTGTGGTACCTATGTAATATTCATGTGGTCTAGTGTTAATGCGTGTGTAGTATACCTAATGCATTTGTGATTTTAGTATATAACACTGACGTGCATCCCTAGTAAGTACATAATTGGGTATGTCTATTTTGTTTGTCTATAGTGTGTTTATGCACCTATAGACTTCTGGGATTTTATAATGTGTATCGATAGACATCTTACATATTAACAGCAGAATTGATTGTAATATTCTCTCGTTGTGGAACAACGAGTAATTTATTATAAGGATCTAAAAAGAAGACTTCTATTTTGAAGTTAATGCTTCCTGCTTGTTTCAGAATTGTGTAAATTGTTTCTGGTTTAAAGTTATGCTTTATTCATTCAACATATTGCTGTCAACTACGTTTTAATATTATAATTTAGACATTTTGTACTGTATGCCAAAGGGCATTTTGGCATGAGGTACTGATGATGTGTGACGCCTAGAAGCTACCTGTCTTGTTTGGGAGGTACATCTTACACTTGGTTATTGTTAGTTCGTGAAACCGTGTAAGTTGTAAAACTTTTAGTGAAAGAAATAAAACGCTTTCCTTTTCGTTATATAATCAGAAAGAATCCACCTAAACCATAGATAAAATATTGCTTTTGTGTTTCAGGAGAGGAAAGTTCAAGACCAGAAAAAGAAGAGGTAAGAAAATTTATCCACCATTAAACTGTTGGGTTATATTTTTTTACATTATCCTGTGCTTTTTACATGGGAAATATTGTAAAAGATTTTATTGGGGCTGGCACATTTCAGGGTGACGAAAAATACCGACGTTTTACTTAATAATTAGACATTTTATATTAATCGATGTCCAGAAATATGGAGACAATGATTACTTGTTTAGTTCTGAATTGATGACATTTAAATAAAGGGCTACGTGATTGCTTTATTCACCTACTTTTATAAGCAGCAAACCAAAGAGAGAGACGCCTTCTTCGACAAGATTACCAAGAACCTTCCAAGTGTGGACAGTGCTGTGGAGTCTTGGAACAGTTCAGGATTGGGAGTGTCCCTTAACGAAGCTAGGGTCAAAGAACGCCCCGGAAAGACAGGATATGATGGAACAGGTATGCCTTTGCTGTATGATTCTTCAGAGTGTTCCTTGTCTTGTTGTCAAGGGAAACTATAAGGGGGAAGGATACGTGTTCAGTTTTATTCCCGAGTTGTTACCTTCACGTAATTGCTTATGTTTCACTAGGTTTTAAACGTTTTGTTTCAAGGTTTGAAATAAGGTATATCTAAATACGAATAAATAAACACTTGTCGTGAGTTTAACATTTGTTGTTTTTTTTGTATTTTGTATTTCGGTTTTATATTTTTGATTCTTTTTGTAAGTATGCTTGTTGGTAGCGATGTACGCGTGTTTGATTATCTGTATGGAAAGTAGAAAAAGTCATTTTTACACCTATCTTTTGTTTTTCTGGTTTCATCTCGACTTAGAAACCATTGTTGTTAATTTCAATGTTTCGTCACAATATAAAAGGAAAATTACCTGACAAGGATGAATATTATGTTTTACCAAAGCAATTTACAAATGTTAACATGACATTATATTTCTCCGATATTGATGTTAATATGACATTATATTTTTACGATATTGATGTTAATATGACATTATATTTCTCCGATATTGATGTTAATATGACATTATATTTTTCCGATATTGATATTAATATGACATTATATTTTTACGATATTGATATTAATATGACATTATATTTTTACGATATTGATGTTAATATGACATTATATTTTTACGATATTAATGTTAATATGACATTATATTTTTACGATATTGATGTTAACATGACATTATATTTTTACGATATTGATGTCAACATGACATTATATTTTTACGATATTGATGTTCATATGACATTATATTTCTCCGATATTGATGTTCCATATGACATTATATTTTTCCGATATTGATGTTAATATGACATTATATTTCTCCGATATTGATGTTAATATGACATTATATTTCTCCGATATTGATGTTAATATGATATTATATTTTTACGATATTGATGTTAATATGACATTATATTTTTACGATGTTGATGTTAATATGACATTATATTTTCCGATATTGATGTTAATATGACATTATATTTTTACGATATTGATGTCAACAGGACATTATATTTTTTCGATATTGATGTCAACATGACATTATATTTTTACGATATTGATGTTAACATGACAATATATTTTTACGATATTGATGTTAACATGACATTATATTTTTACGATATTGATGTCAACATGACATATTTTTACGATATTGATGTTAACATGACAATATATTTTTACGATATTGATGTTAACATGACATTATATTTCTCCGATATTGATGTCAACATGACATTATATTTTTACGATATTGATGTCAACATGACATTATATTTTTACGATATTGATGTCAACATGACATTATATTTTTACGATATTGATGTCAACATGACATTATATGTTTACGATATTGATGTCAACATGACATTATATGTTTACGATATTGATGTTAACATGACATTATATGTTTACGATATTGATGTCAACATGACATTATATGTTTACGATATTGATGTCAACATGACATTATATTTTTACAATATTGATGTCAACATGACATTATATTTCTCCGATATTGATGTTAACATGACATTATATTTTTTACGATATTGATTATTGTTTCAATGTCATATGTATTTGATAATTAAGAAGAGGAAAATGTGTTTTTATAAACAAAAACAACTTTGCTAAATTTACAACTCTTGTAACATTTACTACATTCTTAATAACCTTCAAGTGACAGTTTTTTTCCTAATCTTCTCAAAAATGGAATTACAATTTTGAATATGAAGATCATGGACTTGATGACAGTTGCAGACCTAGAGAATGGGAAGATGAAGATTGGGAACTTCAGACCCACAGTAACCACAGCTGTAGAAGCTATGGTAGCAGTCATTCCGGTGGATCTGATGAGAAACAGATTGGTTGGTCGGAAAATCTAAAAAACCCTGAAGTGTGTAGAGAAACAGAAGTAGATGTGGAAAGTGATCCTAGTTACACGATTAGTTCACAGTTACACTTCTGTGGCACAGTGCAATCATCCAGTGAGATATTTTATCCATCAAGGTCCCAGGCAGTATCTTTGGAACAGCTCACTGAACTGGTTAACGAACTAGGGCAAGCTGAAGATGAACCACAAAGATGCAACACCTTACCTCACTCTGCATCCAGGAAAAACAGGGAGCAAAGTGTTGAAGACAGTGCCATGTCTTTATATTCATCTTCTTACCAGAGTTCTTTGGTCGTCTCGTCGGTACCACTTGAAATACATACAGTGACTCTGTTTAAAGATCAAGTGTATGAAGACTTTGGGTTTAGTGTTTCTGATGGAATGTACGAAAGAGGGGTCTATATCAACAGGTTACGTCCAGGAGGACCTGCCAGCGTCAGTGGCATTTTGAAACCATTAGACAGGATATTACAGGCAAGTCGATAAAGTGTAATAAATATGTAGCCTTTTAGGAATCACTGTTTTGGATGCTTTGATTATTTTCTGCTTTATGTTACAATAAAAAATATTGTACTGGGCATCTTTATTTTCATGGAGTCAAATGTACTTGAAATGTCGACCGCTGCGTATTTTTTAATACGAACTTTTTAAAATAAACAAGTAACTTGTTAGCAGTCACTTCACCTGTCAGTTGACACTTGATAATTTAATTTTATGAAACTATTTTAGGCAGAAATAAGAGTACTCGCAATCTATCAAAGTGTGTATGAATGCGTGTGGCGAAGAACAAAAATGGGGAAATAAAAGACATTTTTGGTAAACGTAAAATATTAGCCATTCATTTTTGATTTAAACAGAATTCTAAGTAGGAAAATCGTGTAACAGTTCAAACGAAATCAAACTTTTTGAATATCTTGTAATTGTAGTAGATAATTACTGGTGAATCTATTTATCAATCTTATCTGTAATTTGAATATCTATTTAGTCAGAGATTTGTAGTTTTGCTGTAACAGTATACCACACTTTGAAATGTTAATGATTTTATTATTTGATTCGAGAGTTAAACTAATTACCTCTGTTGTTAAAACAATAAATTTGGTGTTTTATTTAATTTTATTTGTTTTAAGGTAAATAACACAAAAACTCGAGACTTCGACTGCTGTCTGACAGTACCGTTGATAGCGGCAGCAGGAGACCGTATCGAACTTCTTGTAAGCAGGCCAGCGTACGAAAGTCGAATATCTCTAGTTGGAAGGGAAAACACTCGCCATCCTTGGATGGACGAGGAAAGTCGAGAAGACTGCTCATCACCCCAGCTTCCACCAGAAGACACTGAAATACCTAACAAAGACTGTTTGATAGTTTGTCAGTGGAACGTTAGCGCAGTAGACATAGAGGAAGGTCGAGAAGACTGCTCATCACCTCAGCTTCCACCAGAAGACACTGAAATACTAACAAAGACTATTTGATAGTTTGTCAGTGGAACGTTAGCGCAGTAGACATTGAGGAAGGTCGAGAAGACTGCTCATCACCTCAGCTTCCACCAGAATACACTGAAATACTAACAAAGACTGTTTGATAGTTTGTCAATGGAACGTTAGCGCAGTAGACATAGAGGAAGGTCGAGAAGACTGCTCATC